TAGTGGTGTGAATATTTCTTACTTTTCAAAATAATGTGACTTATTACAATTAATTACTTTTTGATTACTTTTCTACATTTCTAATGAATATTTCACTGTTAACCATTTTCAAAAGACAGCATCAGCAGGCGGTGCTGCAAATCCAAACAAAAGATACAATTAAAAGCATAAGAACAACATCAAACTTTACCAAACGGCTGTGGGTGGAAAAGACAAAGGAAGACACTGTGCACGTGAAAAACATGCAAAGCAACAAAATTAATATTATTCAACATATAGCCGAGCTTTTTACAGAACATATTCATATGTAATCCCCAGTGTAATCATATTACACATCATACACACATTTTTCTTAGTAACTGTAATGGACAAAAGTTACATTTATTTTGTAATAAAAGTACATACCAAAATTACATGTAACTTGTTACTCCCTAACACTGCCTGTGATGACAGTTGTAGGCTACATTTCAGATACATTTAAGCTACTGTGTCATTTCTTACAGGTAGTGATTACGCTCTCATTACCATACTCATTATGGGAGATCTGCAACACCATACTACGAAACGTGGAACAACTTGGTAAACGATTTCCTCAACAAAAAGGCACCCACTTTCTCATCAATACATCATTCTAGAAGTTTTAACACTGTAGGTGGCTTTTCACCTCACCAGAAGGACAAGCCATCTCCAGCACACCCTTAAGAGAACCGTAAGTGCGCTGCTCCACCACTAAATCACTGTGAGAAACAGACCAAGGAACATCAGGACATGATACATCATGCTGCACTGAAAATTTTTTCGGTGGAACTAATCTTATCCTACTCTGTCCATTTCATCGTACACCGATTACCACCTCCAACCTGAAACAGATCATAAGACAACATAATTTTATGCAGGGGTACACGCAGAATATTCGTTCCCATTGCGATCACAGCTGAACCCATGTAGGTCTCCTCGGAAAATGATAAGGCTGATGCTGAAGCTCATCCTCCAAACAAATCTCCCAGAATGCAACAAACTTGCTATATTAAGCTTACAAACAAAACCTACCTGAGATTCAAAAACACTATTGCCCCAAATTTGTTATAACCTGTTTAATGTGCCTGTTATCATTGTCCAAAAACCTCAACAGTCTACAGGAGATTGAGAGCTGGGTTGATTACTTTGCAACCAGCACTCAGAATACAATCAAAGCCCTTTGATCTGGCAGACCCTTTTTGACCCCCTGCTGTTTTGGGGTGTGGGTTTGAAGGCAGTATAGTGAGGCAGTCTGTGCTGTCGGTTATGCCTCATCCCCTTCACATGAATGGAAAAAGGAAAAGCTGGCTGGGACGCTACAGTTGTGTGTGGTTATGATGCAGAGAGCTGAAGGCTGAGCTTCTTCTGGTTGAGACATCATTAATGATACAGATTTAGAAACCTCACTAATACAGACAGTGGAGCGATGGGCTACTACTAAACATTAACAGAGAGTCTGCCAGTATTCACTGCTTGCAGACTTTATTCTTACAGAGCTTTGATCTCATTTGGCCTCATTATTTAACCTCAGTTTTGCTCCGACCACACTCTGTTGTCTCTTCCTGTTAAACAAGTGTACCTCCCCCCCCATCTAACTCTCACTACAAAGACTCTGGGCAGTCATCGATGTCTTATTCAAACAAGCAGATAACATTGTCTCTCAGACTGGGATAAAAAAAAACCCTGATAAAATAAGTAATAAGTGTTCTGTGGAGTTAGTGGTGTTGTGCAGCAACATTTTAATGAGATGCTGTTGGATTTGTTCGAATCTCACACTACAGTCATGTGCACATGGTTTCACATGCGATGCAAACTGATTCCGGTTGACTGCAGAGGGAGATAAGTGATAATGAAAGTGTGCAATGCATGCAAGTTATATGTTACCCTGTTTAATGCACAAATTAACAGTCGATGGTGCTAAAGCTACGAGCATAACACTACAAGACGAAGAAAAAAAGGCTAGCCAAAGGCAAAATGCATGTAAATACTGCCGTTTTTTAAATATTTAAAAAACTGGCTATCCAAAAGCTTTAAGGGGATGGAATCACTGATTGTAACCGGAGAAGAAATTTCTGAAGAAAGCTTCCCTGTTGCCCTCCACTGCATGAGCAACAAGCACATGCCACCACCCCCACCTCACTCTGCACAAACACACTTGCCTCGTGGACTCTGCTGCACCCCCACCTACCCTGTTTCCTGACCACACACTGCTGTACATCTCTCACACTATGCACAAAGGTCCGCTCATTACAATAGTTCACACTGTTACGGCACTTCTACACTGTACAGCGTTACTGTTAATACTCCTGTTAATACTACTGTAAATACTGTTAATAATCCTATCGATCATTTGAGCCTTAATTTTACCCGCAACTGTCAAAATACTTTTGAAGCTGCTCTTACTGTTACTTTTATTATTATCGTTACTTCAGTTGCTGTTACTTTCACTTCTGATCCTTCAGATGCTGCTACTATTAAGTCTTGTGTTCTATGATATCTTGTCTGGTTAGTTATTTATTGTGATATTGTTTTTAGCACTGTGGACCATGAGAAACGGCATTTTCCTTTTCATTTAGCTGACGCTTTTATCCAAAGCGACTTACCACTGCTATATACAGTATGTCAGAGGTCGCACGCCTCTGGAGCAACTAGGGATTAAGTGTCTTGCTCAGGGACACATTGGTGGACGTGTCACAGTGAGGAGTTGAACCCAGGTCTCTCACACCAAAGGCATGTGTCTTATCCACTGCACCATAACCATTTTATTCATTTGTATACTTGGTATGTGGATGAATAACAATAAACAAACTTGAACTGCATACTTGATAAAGGTCCGGGAGCTAAACTGCATTGATGGCTTTCATTTGCATGAAGTAGCTTTTCCACACCCTGTGTTAGCTTTACTTTAGTGTTTTAATGTGGTCTAACTTTACTTTGATTAATAAAATAGTCTTTGTTAAACTGCTTCCCGTGGTGTGTCCCCCTTTTGTTGTTGCCACTTGAGCCAGGCCATAACAAATGGGGGTGATTTGGTCCAGCTGGATGCTGGTTTGGCTGCGCTATACACCAGGATTATTGTATGCCGTTCAGAAGGAAAGTGTTCCTGTCCTGATTCACAACATTTCTCCATTAGTTTAATGGCACTTCCTCTCTGTGTTGTTGTTGATGGCTCTTCTCCTGAATACTACCATAGTGCCCAGGCTTCCGTAGGCCTTACTGAGGGAATGATTGGCAAATCCACCTCCGCTGGAATGCACCTGGTCCTCCACCCATTCCTGTCGCAGTCCTCCACTACCTCCTGGTACTTCACCCTCTTCCTCTTTTGTGTTTCCTTCATCCTCTCCTCCCAGGGTCCAGTCAACATCAGTGAGATGAGCTGTCTTGTGGTCGCAGAGACTAAGATGATGTCTTGTCTCTATGTGGACTGGGTGATATGTGATGGAAACTTCTTAACTGCTTCTCCAGGTCAATGCTCATCACTCAGTCTCGTGCCGTGCTCATCAATCACATGTCTACATATAGACAAAATACCAGACAGTATTCACTGCTTCATTTCATACTGTATTCTCACAGAACTCGGAGGGCTTCGTGATTTTCACTTCAGACCACATTGGGCTGCTTCATCAAACACCAAACATTGTTCTTTAGACACAAATTAAAGAGACAGACTGGCTGAGAAAGGTAGTGGCTAAATGGAAACAAACAGCAGGTGGGAATGAAATTGCAGCACAGCATGATTGAACATCTTCTATGAATATAGAATCTATCAGAAAAGCAGATATTTGTTGACAAAACAATGCTAACTCCAGCTCCAACATGAGCCGCAGTTAGTTTAGCTTCCTGTGTCTACCTGCTGGCAGCATAATTAACACAAGTTTCCACTTCTCTCTCTGATGCAGGCCTCCTGTTCCTTATTGTGGTTGAATACAAAGTCAGTGCTGCGTCCTTCAGGTCATCAGAGTCCAGATTCTGTAAATAAAAGTATCTTCAGTCACACAGCTGAGTTGGTGAGAAGAAATGAACTAATTCACTTATAAAAAAACCTCAAAAGTGATCCCAGCACATATTAAACAATAAAAAATAAATAAATAATAAGAGAATAAAATATGACCTCAATGTTAATTCCATGTAAAAAGTGGATTCACCTCACTCCGTCGTGGTTTCTGTTCTTCATTTTCAGCTGAAAGATAGAACAATAGAAAGTCATCTTTGAAAACATTACAGTTGATGCAGTTTGCAGAACAGGAAGTTTTGGATTTTTTCATTATATTGAGAGAACTTAATAAAACTCCAAGGCAGCTTTCATCAAGTACTCGTCTGAAGTTTACTGATTTTGACAGCCAAACTAGTGACAACTATGATGACAAAAATGGTCATAACACCCAGGATCACACTCAGGGTTGTTCTTCCATAAGAATTTTCTACAGGAGATATTATTAAATTAGACTCTCTGTACTCTGTTATCAGTAGTGGTTTAAGATCTGACAAACATTTACATGAAAAAACCTGACTTTGTTTGTTGGAAGCCCGAACAGCTTAATCTCGTATCTATTATAGAAGTTTTTTTTATAAAAGTTTTTTTTTTTGTCAGCTTGGTTTGGCTCCGCCCCCCCGTATGCAGGATAAGTGGTTGACGATGGATAGATGGTGTTACATCTTACAGTGTTTCTTTACAAACACAAAACACTTACAACAATCTTACCTTGAACCTTTAAAGATGGAACAAAATAACAAAGACCAACTATATCAAGTTTATAAGTTGGGGCAATTTGTGACACACACTATATACCTTGATAAAAACTTGTGACATAACCAGAAGAAACTATATCTGAGTCCTATTATACAATTTTAAGACACATACCACTAGTTACACAATTAGTTTTCTGTGGTCATGAGAAGTTTACAATTCGACACAAAGTTATTTGTTGTATATCAAAGGCAGAAAATTTCACATTAAAATAATTATATGACAGTGTGCTTTACTGGAGTTACTTTATTCATTCATTCATAGCATTTTAAACAATTTTTATTATTTTAGAATTGTAATTGTTACAGTTTTCCTAAGTATGCCATTGAAAATCATTAATCATCATTAAGCATTATGTTTTATAATGTAATGTTCACTCAATAGTAGGTGATTAAAGGATTGTATCAGTAATAGCAGTTCACTCTTACCTGGCCAATGATGGTTTTTGGATTCATGTTTGCAAGACTCAGTAGGTTCAGATGCATCTCACAGTGGAGACGGATGGGATATTCACCTGCTGTGCAGCCAAATGTGCAGCCTTCAGCAGAGTAAATGCTTTTATATGAGACTGCAAGTGTCACCTTGAAATAGGTATCTTTTTGTTTTTTTTTTTGTGATGTGAGTTTGTGCGAGCAAAGGGTCTGTTAAGTGTGATGAGGGAAGCAGTGACACAGTTACTGACTGTTACATGTTACTGTTACACTGATTTATCACCAACAAGATGCTCAACAATCACTTTTCTACAAATATAAAACAGCAGATGTTGAAGGCTGATCTTCTCATGGTCGAGACCTTTTAAATGATAGAAATTTAGAGACCTCACTGATCCAGGTTGTGCTGTTTGTCACCACAGTGAAACAATGGACATCGATCAACATATTGCTGGCAAATGAGAAAATTCTTGACTAAAAATTATTTTTTTCATTTTGTCATTACACTTACTTTGACATTACAATTTAAATGTCCAGTTGCTATATTAATGTACTGTGTGCTTTTCAACAAATAAAGAGTTTTGTTCTAACAGACTTCATGATTTTCAGCTCTGTTGCGTTCACACCACACTGTCTCTCAGATATAACACGATTTGCGAATACAGAATTTTTATAACAGTGATGGTAAGTCTTCCTTAGAAGAAGTTTGATATGATCAATCATCAGTTCCACTCTGAGCTGCTGTTCCAGATGTTTCTTGAGTCTATCTGGTGGCAGCATACACAACATTTGGCTCCAGCTGGTTCTCTGATGCAGGCCTTCTACTGCTTTTTGCTTTCGGGCGGAAACTCAGCGCTGCATAGTTCAGGTCATCAGAGCCCAGATTCTGTAAATAAAAGTATTTACAGTCACTCATCTGAGTGAGAAAACATAAAATCATTAAATGATAAATTACTTAATCCAGACAAGACACAACAATAGACTTTGATCAACCTTCGGCTAAAATATTATTACCTCACTGGGTTGTAGATTCTGTCCTTCTTTATGAGCTAAATGACAGAAACATCTGGTCAGTTAATAACAATTTTGCTGTTAGTTGCTGTTTTTGACAAACAAGAAGTTCAAAATGCAAACTTTTGCATCTGAAACTTCAATAAAACACAAGTACCTGAATGAAGTTTCCTTATTTGGACAACCAGACTGATGATGACCATAATGAGGAAAATAAACACAGCACCCAGGATCACACTTCTCAGCTTTGTTATTCCATCAAATGCTTCTACAAGAAATATCATTAAATTAAACTTTTTGTATAGTATTCTACCTCTTGTGGGTTGAGATCAGTCCTTATTTTGACAGTCTATTTCTTTCCAATCAAAAGACAGACAACACTTTACAGCAATCTTACCTTGAACCTTTAAATAAGTTGCACTGACAATTACTGAGTTTCCATTTGAGTAAAATCCACAAAAATACAGTCCAGAGTCAGATAAATCCACTTGTTTGATCTTGAGAAAGATGGTCGTGGTGTTGGACGTCATATTAAATTTGCTATTTTGAAATCCATCACAAAACGAAGTATTCATTTCAGAGTTGGACATAGATGAGATGCAGCTGGCATTGGGTCTGTTGTTCAGTCTGAACCAGATTATGTGAGAGGGCGTGCTGGTAAAGTTGGAACACATCAGTGTGACTTCTTCACCAGACTGAACCTCCACAGTGTGAAACTCAGAAACTGAGACAGAGATCCAACCTGAAACAAACAACCAGTAATTTATTCCCTAAACTTGTAATTCAACAGGAAACAAACAATCAAAACAAATTATGTTATTAACAAATAATCTGTTCATTATTATACTGAAGGAAAGGTAGCAATTATTGTAACGAGAAGAAAATGGAAGAAGTACTTACTGAAGGTACAGAGTAAAGCTGTTACCAAGGTAAAGTTCATCATCGTGCGTACAGTTTGACTGCATCACTGCAATGTTTGTAACTGAACTGTGCTCCAGTAAGAGTGGTCTCAGTGTAAAGAGGCGGAGTGTTCTTTGTTTATCCGGCTGCTCAGACTGACAATTTAAAAACTTTCAGGAGGTCAACCAACAGAACCAAGCGTTCTTTTCCTATATCAGGATACCTCACACAGTAGTGTGTTATTATAGTAGACATTTACACATAAATGAATGTCTGTACATTCACGTCCTTGCCAAATGAGCTCACACAATGCTGATTAATTCTTTCACCACCAGGTGAATCTCTCTGTACATCCCAGTATACCAAAGTTTTCAAATCTGGTGTCTGTAAGCAAACGCACTGGTAATGATGTGTTTTACATCAACCAGCAATGATTGGTTAGCCAGGAGCAACTATGGGGGGTACCCATTGCCATGTAGAGTCCACTGGAGGGAATGTTTATTATTGAAAATGATTCTTTGGATTATTTATTTTGTTCATTATGAATGTTTTGTTTGTGATAACATGCTCTGCAACGCTGTTGCAAAAAAACCTACTTTTAAATTGAAAGACGCCACTCTTTCTCTACATAATAATACAAATAAATTAGATTTATGTAGCACTTTTTTAAGATGCTTACATGGTTTTGGGACAACCGTGGTGACAGATAATAATACTAATAATAATAATGATAATGTTCCACGAGATAATAATGCTGATTACAATATTTTCCCCATCAGGACCCTTGAGAGTGTCTTATCATGCTTGTACCATGTGCAAAATCAGAAGCGGTGGTTATATTGCCTAACATTTTGTGGATGTTTTTTGCAGTCCGCTTACCCCAAGGTTAACCAAGTTAACAACAGTGAAAGTTGTGTAACCAGTAACAAAGCATGAAGCAGATGTTTGTGACCTACAGTTCTTCCCCATCTGGCTCAATCACAACCAGAATCACCAGCTAATAAAGAAACAGCAAAGCAACCCTTCTCCCTCCATGGGCCGGAGGGAGGGAGCAGTTAAATAGTAGTTAATCTTACCTGTGACTAGATTAATGTTCGCAAGGCTCAGTAGGTTTAAATGCTCACAGTGGAGATGGTGGGACCTTCACCTGTGTTGGTTTGCTCTGATCTGTCAGGTCTTAAAATGTGCAGCCTTTAGCAGAATAAATGCTTTGATATCAGACTGTGTAAAAGTGTAACCTTGCAACATGCATCTTTTCACAAGATAGTAGTGAGTTTGTGTGAGTACTGAGCCCTTTTAAGTTTGAACTGTGATGAGGGGAGCAGTGACTGATTTACCACCAACAACATGCTCAACAATCAAATTTCCTCTAATACAAAAATATCTTTATAAAGTCTTTCTACTGTACTACTACATAAAAGGCTTTGTTGTGTGTGATTATGATGCTGAAGGTGGAGTTTCTCCTGGTAGAGACATCATTAATGATAGAAATATAGAAACGTCACTAACACAGACAGTGCTGTTGTTCACCACAGTGGAACAATGGGCAACTACTAAACATTAACAGAAAGTCTGCAAGTATTCACTGCTTTCAGACTTTATTCTCAGAGAGCTTTAATCTGATTGGCCTCATGATTGGCCTCATGTGCTCGGACCACACTCTGTTGTCTCTTCCTGTCAAACAAGTGATGTGTACCTCACTCACTCCTCTGCTGCTGTTCTCCATCTAACTCTCACTACAAAAGGCATGCTTTATGAGGAGAGAAATGTTTGTTAGACCTCAGGATACACAAACAGTGATTTCTGCAGAAATTGCAGTGTGACTGCTGGCTGTTGAAAGGCTGACGCTAAACTTTTTTTTACGTGTTTTATGTGGAATATTTTAAAGAGGTGGTATTATGCTTTTTGGCTTTTCCAATGCTGAGCTAAACATGTTTACTATCCTCAGGTTACTAACCTATTTGCGTTCAGCGTGTCTTTGTTTGGGTCTTGTATGAAGTTTTAAAGTCAAAGTTTATGATGAATGGCACGGCAACTGCCAGTGTTGTATGGCCGTGCGCGGCTGATACTACGTGTTACGTTTGCAGGTTATAGGTAACGGAGGGAGGGAATAACGGCAAGCTCATCAGACGTTTCCTAAAAATAAATATTGTTCACGAGTCCCGCACCTCGAGTCTGAGTCGAGTCTGAAGTCTTTTGAGGACGAGTCTCAAGTCGAGTCTGAAGTCACTGTGTGTGCGACTTAAGTCGCACTCGAGTCCGAGTCTCTAACTAGAGTCCCCATCTCTGATATACACACACACCATATAATTGCGTGTATAATAAAATATGGCATCATGTAGATTATTTGTAGAGTATACTGTATGTTGGGAGGGTTCCTGCTTCCTTCCAGCCATGCAAGGACATACTGGGTCATCCTTTTGGGCTGTCACTAATTGCTGGGAGCTTAGTGGTTGCAGCCAGTTTACTGTGGTAGTGTGGTGATCAGTTTTCACAATCTTCCTCCTGCACTGTAATCTCCCTGATCACTAGAGGCACCACATTATCAACATCCTCTTCAGATCTGGCCCACAGATTGTGCAGTCTCTGACAGTGTGAGCATCCTTGACATGGGAGCTCTGTTGACTCCTTGATGGCCTGAAACTGCAGAGTGTTTGTAGGAGGCTGCCACTCTTGCACATCTTTGATCAGTGCCAGGTTGGGACTTATCCCCTCTCTTGATTGTGTGTCCTAACTGCGGGGTTCAAAGTTGTTTCTCCTTGCTTGTAGTTCTCCTAAAAACTTCTGGCTTACCTCTTGTGGGGATGTTTTTTAAGCGATTTGGGCTAGGTGGCCTTGAAAGGTTTCTAATAATGTGCCCTGCTTACCCACAACAGAAACAGGTTGTTCTGCTTGCTTGGTTTGGTTTGGATGATGGTATTCTTGAGCTCTGCAGAGGCTGTTGATGTACCATTCTCCTTACCCTTTTTTGTTCATGTGTTTTCTCGCCATATGATGCAGAGTGGATCCTTCACGCCCTAGTCTTTTGGCACAGGTTGCAGCTGATCTACTCCCTCCATCGACGTTTTAAACTGTTCCTCTGTAACATAGGCAGTGGCGACTGTTCATTAGGGGCAGGTGGGCCAATGCCCCACCTGTTGGTGAACAAAAAGAAGTGTGCAACAAATTATGTTATTTTTATTTAAAAAGATATTATTATGATATATTTTACAATCCATAAATATAGCATCTTCCTAAATTGCATTTCATTTGTGTTAGAATTTAATTTAAAGTTCATTGGTCCCTCCCTACCTTGCTGCTTCAGACTGCGTTCTCCTGATTGGTGTCTGTAGGCTTTTGTAGATGTGGGGCTAGCCCCTCTGTCTGTCAGGGTTTTGAGGGTGCAAGCAGGAGAGAGCCTAAACGCAAGACGCAAAGTTGATCATCGTGCGTACAGTATGACTGCACCACTGTAATGTTTGTAACTGAACTGTGCTCCAGTAAGAGTGGTCTCAATGTAGGCAGAGTGTTCTTTTTTTTATCCGGCTGCTCAGACTTACAATATAAAAGCTTTCAGGAGAACAGTTCAAGTTAACAGCTGCAATAACAAAGTTATTATCTTGATGGAACTGGAGATAACAGGTAGTAGGTAGGTAATGTTTCAGCAGTCTCCAAAAGACTTATCAGTGTGTAAGGAGGTGTACTCTTTGATGTTCTTTACTTTCATCAAGTGTTCTTTTCAGGATACCTCTTACAGAACTGTGTTATTGCACACAGCAGACATTTTAACTGAAAGCTTATGTATTCATTGGACTAGTTGTTGACACATCACTCCATAGAGGTTTAAAGCTGGAGTGTGGGACTTTTACATATTTGAACATCTGTTAGATTCAAGAGCCTTGCCAAATGAGCTCACACAATGCTGAGGCAGTAGGGACACTGCTATTTATACGTCACGCACGTATCTGTAGTGACGTCCTATTGGTTGGCTACATGCACAATAAAATTCCAGTTGGCGTGTGATTGGAGGAAGTAGTACCCATACAGTCCAGGCGAGGGCGGAGCCTGTGCTTATAGAACTAGGGTGACCATATCGTAACCTTCATTTTTTGCTACAGTGAAACGATGGACAACTACTGAACATTCTTCAGGGGATATACCATACCATTATACAGATATAGAGAGATATAGAGATACTTACTTTCACATCTCAATTAAAATATCCAGTTGCTATATTGTTGTATTGTGTTTCTTAAATACTTTTCTACAAATGTAGAGAAGCTGATCATTTTGTCTTCCTGACAGAAGAAAGTCTGACAGTATTGACTGCTTTTATTCTCACAGAACTTTGATCTCCTTGGCCTCATTATTACCTCAGTTTTGCTCCGACCACACTCTGTTGTCTCTTCCTGTCAAACAAGTAATGTATCAGTCACTCCTCCACTGCTGCCTCCCTCCATCTAACTCTCACTACAAAATACTCTGGGCAGTCATTGTTGCCTTTTTCCATCAAGCATTTATAAACATTTGCTCTTAAACTGAGATATAAAAAACTGATAAACTAAGTAATAGGTGTTCTGTGGAGTTTTTGACCAGTAGTGGTGTTATGCAGCAACATTTTAATGAGATGTTTTCTGTTCTGTTTGTATCTCCCACTCAACATTTATATGCACAAGGTTGCACATGTGATGCCTACGCTTTCCTGCTGACTGCAGAGGGTGAAAAGTAATAATGAAAGTGTGTAGTGGATGCAAGTCATATGTTTCATGCTGTTATACTAAACAACAGTTGATGGTACTAAAGCTCCAAGAAACATAACAATACAAGATGAAGAAAAGAGAGAGAGCCAAAGAAAAAAAAGGATAATGCAAATAAAGCTGTCTAAACTGGCTATCCAAATGCTTCATGAGGATAGAAATGTTTGTTATAGCATAAAGGATCCACACATACGTGAGAATCACTGATTGTAACCAGAGAAACTGAATTGCTGGATTTACATGACCACTAATGTATGTAAGGTGTGGAATTTTTTAATCTCTGCAGCCACTGCATGAGCAACAAGCACACGCCCCCACACACACACAAACAAATTGCCTTGTG